ACCCAAAATGAAACAGAGAATAAAAGTAATCCAAAAAATGAAAAGGGCATCAGGGCATCAGTGAGTTCTGGGACAAGTGCAAGCACCTTAAAGATGTGTAGTTGGAGCCCCCAGAGGAGGAGGAAGGAAAAAACATATTTGGATAAATCATGGCTGAAATTTTTCCGAATTTGATGAAAACTATAAACCCACAGAATTTCAACAAATCCTAGAGGCTCAATGAACTCCAAGAACAAAAAACATTAAGACACATGTCACAACCAAATTGTTCAAAATCAGTGATTAAGAGGAAATCTTAAAACATCATAGGAAAAAAGATACATCGCGTACAGAGGAGCAGACTTCCCGTCAGAAACAAGGCCAGCAGAGGACAGTGGCACAGCAAAGTGTGGAACGGAAAAGCCCGTCTGCCTAGAACTGCACACCCAGCAGAAAGACCTTCCAAAACAGAGGCAAGATATAGACTTTTCAGACAAGCAAAAGGTGGAAGAATTTGTCGCCAGTAGGCACACACTGTGAGAAATGTTCAAGGAAGTCCTAGGATGCCACGGAGAACCATTTACACACAGGCTGTGCTGACTCTTTCTCTCAGTTGGCAACTAAAGAGACTGAACTTGGGCAAACACTTTGGGTACTGCCCCAAAGAGTTAAGCCGTAACATCTGCTGTGATGACTATTGCTCTGAAGAAAAAGAAAACAACTTCTGTGGGAAGTAAGTGTCAATGAAGTTTTTCTGTTAGGATGGACCAGGGATATAACATCCTCACTGAAAGAGGAGCTGCCAAATTTCCATTGGTTAGAGATCCAATTTCTGCTTCTGTTTTCTTTGAAAAAGTACTAAATTGCTGCTGCTTCTGAAATAAGCGAAAATTCCATTTATCAACCTAATTAAGCAACTCATAATAAAGTGCTGACATAACTTTCTTCTTAGGAGAGAAAAATAATGTAAATACCTCAGAAGGATACCAAAAGTCTTATTTCTAGTTTCTTGCTGCTAATGTAGACCAGATTCATAAAATGTGAGTTTTTAGAGCCAGCAGAGGGAAGTGAATTGACAGGCACCAAATAACAGGTGAGCCAAATCTCAGAAAGGACAGAATCAAGGAGGCAGGTGGGATATTCCAGAGAAGGGGCAGCACAGGACAAACCTAGAA